AAAAAACCTGGGTACCCTCTCATGATAAGGTTAATGAAAATCACTACCAGAACACCAGGTTAGAAGTTTAGGATGGCCAAACAGGAAAAAGATATTTTTAGGAGCTCTCTCTCCAGTAACTGCTTAATTCACTCAGTTTACCAGAAAGCTGATTTGATGCAGATGCCGACTGGAGTGTGAATTATTCTACCATGGTGAAAATATGGAGGCCATTCTCACATCCTCAAATACAGTATTCAGAATGCTCATAATTATGATTCCCAAGCAGTGGAATTATAAAGATGGCTTTTCTTTTCTCTATGTTTTCCAGGTGGTGTTTGTTTGTTTTTTAAGAGATAGGGTCTTACCCTGTCACCCAGGCTGTAGTGCAGATCATGGCTCACTACAACCTCAACCTTCTTGTCTCAAGCAATCCTCCCTCCTTAGCCTCCTGAGTAGCTGGAACTCCTGGCATGTGCCACCACGCCTGGCTCATTTTTCTTATTTTTTTTGTAGAGACAGAGTGTATTAGTGTGTTCGCATGCTGCTAAGAAAGATATACCTGAGACTGGGTAGTTTATAAAGGAAAGAAGTTTAATTGACTCACAGTTTGGCATGGCTGGGGAGGCCTCAGGAAGCTTACAATTATGGCAGAAGGGGAAGTAAACACATCCTTCTCCACATGGCGGCATCAAGGAGAAGTGCCGAGTGAAGGGGAGGGTGGGAAAACACTTGTAAAACCATCAGATCTTGTGAGAACTCACTCACTTCACAAGAACAGCATGGAGGTAACCACCCCCATGATTCAATTACCTTCTACCAGTTCCCTCCCATAACGTGGGGATTATAGGAACTACAGTTCAAGATGAGACTTGGAGGCCAGGTACAGTGGCTCATGCCTGTAATCCCAGCACTTTGGGAGGCCAAGGCAGGTGGATCACGAGGTCAAGAGATTGAGACCATTCTGGCTAACATGGTGAAACCCTGTCTCTACTAAAAATACAAAAATTAGCTGGGCATGGTGGTGCATGCCTGTATTCCCAGCTACATGTGTGGCTGAGGCAGGAGAATCACTTGAACCTGGGAGTCAGTGAGCCAAGATCACGCCACTGCCCTCCAGCCTGTTGACAGAGTGAGACTCCATCTTGGGGAAAAAAAAAAAAAGATGAGATTTGGGTGAGGACATACCCAAACCATATCATTTTGCCCCCGGCCCCTCCCAAATCTCATGTTCTCACATTTCAAAACACAATCATGCCTTCCCAACAGTCCCCCAAAGTCTTAGCTCATTCCAACATGAACTCAAAAGTCCAAGTCCAAAGTCTCATCTGAGACAAGTAAAGTCCCTTCTGCCTCTGAACCTGTAAAATTAAAAGCAAGGTAGCTACTTCCTAGACACAATGGAGGTTACAGGCATTGGGTAAAAATACTCATTCCAAATGGGAGAAATTGGCCAAACAAAGGGGCTACAGGACCCACACAAGTTTCAATTCCAGACCACAGTCAAATCTTAAAGCTCTAAAATGATCTCCTTTGACTACATGTATCACATCCAGGTCACACTTGCTGAGACCAGCTTGGTCGTGGAGACCCCAACCCAGTGGCACTAGAGGAATAAAGACACAGACACAGAAATAGAGTGCACAGTGAGATCAGGGGGCTAACAGCCTTCAGAGCTGACAGCCTTGAACAGAGTTTGACCCACCTATTTATTGACAGTAAGCCCATGATTAACGTCGTTTCTGCAGTTTATAGATTGACTAAAAGTATTCTTTATGGGGAACAAAGGGACAGGCTCTGGCTTGTTATCTGCAGCAGGAATGTGTCCTTAAGGCACAGATCGCTCATTGCTCATGCCGTTGTTTGTGGTTTAGGAACACCTTGAGTGGTTTTCCACCCTGGGTGGGCCAGGTGTTTCTTGCCTTCATTCCAGTAAACCAGCAACCTCCAGCGTGAGTGTCATAGCCATCACAAGCATGTCACAGTGCTGCAGAGATCTTGTTTATGGTCAGTCTTGAGACCTGTTCTGAGCAATGCTGATACAAGAGGTGGGTTTCCAAAGTCTTGGGCAGCTTTGCCCCATGGCTTTACAGGGTACAGCCCTGCTCCTGGCTGCTTTCATGAGCTGATATTGAGTGTCTATAGCTTTTCCAGGCACACAGTGCAAACTGTTGGTGGATCTACCACTCTGGGGTCTGGAGGACGGTGGCCCTCTTCTCACAGCTCTACTAGGCAGTGCTCCAGTGGGGACTCTGTGTGGGAACTCCAACCCCACATTTCCTTTCTGCTCTGCCCTAGCAGAAGTTCTCCATGAGGGCTCTTCCCTGCAGCACACTTCTGCCTGGACATCCAGGCATTTCCATACAGCCTCTGAAATCTAGGTGGAGGTTCCCAAACCTCAATTCTTCTGTGCACCTGCATGCTCAACACCATGTGGAAGCTGCCAAGGCTTGGGGCTTGCACCCTCTGAAGCCATGGCCTGAGCTGTACCTTGGCCCCCTTTAGCCATGGCTGGAGTGGCTGGAACACAGGACACCAAGCCTCTAGGCTGCACACAGCAGGGGGGCCCTGGACCTGGCCAAGGAAACCATTTTCCCTCCAAGGCCTTCTGACCTGTGGTGGGAGGAGCTGCTCTGAAGGTCCCTGACATGCCCTGCCCTGGAGACATTTTCCACATTGTCTTGGAGATTAACATTTGGCTTATTACTTTTGCAAATTTCTGCAGCAGGCTTGAACTTCTCCCCAGAAAATGGGGTTTTCTTTTCTATTGCATAATCAGGCTGCAAATTTTCCAAACTTTTCTGCTCTGCTTCCTCTTGAATGCTTTGTTGATTAGACATTTCTTCTGTCAGATACCCTAAATCATCTCTCTCAAGTTCAAAGTTCTACAGATCTCTAGGGCAGGGGCAAAATGCGGCCAGTCCCTTTGCATAGCAAGAGTGACCTTTGCTCCAGTTTCCAATGAGTTTCTCATCTCCATCTGAGACCACCTCAGCCTGGACTTTATTGTCCATATCACTCTCAGTATTTTGATCAAGGCCATTCAACAAGCCTCTAGGAAGTTCTAAACTTTTCCACATCTTCCTGTCTTCTGAGCCCTTCAAGTCTCTAGGAAGTTCCAGACTTTCCTATATTTTTTTTTTTTTTTTGAGACGGAGTCTCGCTCTGTTGCCCAGGCTGGAGTGCAGTGGCTGGATCTCAGCTCACTGCAAGCTCCGCCTCCCGGGTTTAAGCCATTCTCCTGCCTCAGCCTCCCGAGCAGCTGGGACTACAGGCGCCCGCCACCTCACCCAGCTAGTTTTTTTTTGGTATTTTTTAGTAGAGACGGGGTTTCACCATGTTAGCCAGGATAGTCTCGATCTCCTGATCTCGTGATCCACCCGTCTCGGCCTCCCAAAGTGCTGGGATTACAGGCTTGAGCCACCGTGCCCGGTGTCCCACATTTTCATATCATCTTCTAAGCCCTTCAAACTGTTCCAGCCTCTGCCTGTCACCCAGTTATAAAGTTGCTTGCACATTTCTGAATATCTTTATAGCAGCACCCCACTGCCAGTGCCAGTTTACTGTATTAGTCTGTTCTGATGCTTCTAATAAAGACATACCCAAGACTGGGTAATTTATAAAGGAAAGAGGTTTAATTGACTCACAGTTCAGCATGGCTGGGAGGCCTCAGGAAACTTACAATCATGGTGGAAGGGGAAGCAAACATGTCCTTTACATGTTAGCAGGAATAAGGGCAGCGCAAAGTGGGTTAAAGCCCCTTACAAAGCCATCAGATTTCGTGAGAAC